CCCCGGGATGTCCCCAAATTGTCCCCCAGCCCCCCGGTGACCACTCACGCTGCCGAAGTACTTGTCGAGGAGCTCGACGTAGCGGTGGATCAGCTCCAGGGTGATGAGCTCGTTGTCCTGCCCCTCGATGGCGCAGCAGAAGTAGAGGCTGGCGTACCTGGGAGGGGGGACACGGGGACAATTGGGGGGTGAGGGGTGGCCCCGGGGTGGTCCAAGAGGGGACAGGGCCCCAAAAAGTGCTACAGGACACGGTGCGGTGGTACCGTACCCGATTTGGTCACCCTGTGAGGTGTGGTTGTGTCTGGTGTCACCCAACCGACCGGGCCTGGTGTCACCCAACCAACCACGGTTGTGCCTGGTGTCACCCAACCAGGCCTGGTGTCACCCAACCAGGCCTGGTGTCACCCAACCAGGTGCGGTGTCACCCAAGGAAGCTTGGTCATGACTGGTACCACCCAACCAACCATGGTCAAGTTTGGTGTCACCCAGTCACGGTTGTGCCTTCACCCAACCAGGCCTGGTGCCACCCAACCAACCACGGTTGTGTCGGGTGTCACCCAACCAACCACGGTTGTGTCTGGTGTCACCCAACCAAGCTTGGTGTCACCCAACCCATCTTGGTCAAGCTTGGTGTCACCCATGACTGGTGTCACCCAACCAACCACGGTCAAGCTTTGTGTCACCCAACCAGGCCCGGTTGTGCCTGGTGCCACCCAACCAAGTCTGGTGCCACCCAACCACGGTTGTGCCTGGTGCCACCCAACCAAGTCTGGTGCCACCCAACCACGGTTGCGCCTGGTGTCACCCAACCAAGTCTGGGGTCACCCAACCAAGTCTGGTGTCATCCAATCGTGGTTGTGCCTGGTGTCACCCAACCAAGTTTGGTGCCACCCAACCACGGTTGCGCCTGGTGTCACCCAACCAAGTCTGGGGTCACCCAACCAAGTCTGGGGTCACCCAACCAAGTCTGGGGTCACCCAACCAAGTCTGGGGTCACCCAACCAAGTCTGGGGTCACCCAACCAAGTCTGGGGTCACCCAACCAAGTCTGGGGTCACCCAACCAAGTCTGGGGTCACCCAACCAAGTCTGGGGTCACCCAACCAAGTCTGGGGTCACCCAACCAAGTCTGGGGTCACCCAACCAAGTCTGGGGTCACCCAACCAAGTCTGGGGTCACCCAACCAAGTCTGGGGTCACCCAACCAAGTCTGGGGTCACCCAACCAAGTCTGGGGTCACCCAACCAAGTCTGGGGTCACCCAACCAAGTCTGGGGTCACCCAACCAAGTCTGGGGTCACCCAACCAAGTCTGGGGTCACCCAACCAAGTCTGGGGTCGCCCACCCACGGTTGCGCCTGGTGTCACCCACCCATGGTTGTGCCTGGTGTCACCCAACCAAGCTCGGTGCCACCCACCCCCCCCACGGTCATGCCCAGTTGGGCGCCCCTGGGGGGTGCTCCTGGCGGCACAGGGGCGTTCCCGGTGACACGGGGACGCGGTGGTCACCTCTTGTAGACGACCTTGAGGTCCCTCCACTCCAGGAAGCTGCACATCTTGGGCTTCCGGGCCAGCACCACCTGCATCAGCTCCCGCACCATCTTCTTCTTGTCCCGGTCGGCGGTGGCCAGGTACCACTTCTGCAGGCGCAGCTTCCCTTGGCGGCTGAACAGCAGCATGAAGCGCATCTGGGGGGGACACGGTTGTGCCTGGTGCCACCCAACCAAGTCTGGTGTCACCCAACCACGGTTGTGCCTGGTGTCACCCAACCAAGTCTGGTGTCACCCAACCACGGTTGCGCCTGGTGTCACCCACCCATGGTTGTGCCTGGTG